GTGAATAAATCCCTTTAGTCAACAATTCAGTCCCGATGTGACAATGACAATTGTCGTTAATGGATTTGTTATTTGTGTCTCATGTATGCACTGGTTGACATTATATGCAAATATCAAAGGTTAAACAAGTGGATTCTTAGATTTATTTTCTTGCAAGCTCAAATTATACGTATATTTTTATCTGTAAAATATTATTCTTACGATTAAACGTGGAAAAACAATTTCTCATCAGACATTTTAACAGAAATATTATATTCACTATAATTTATACAATAACATCGTTGCTAAGAGACAGGGACAGCCATTGTTGTTTAAATAACACTGAAATAATAAACATTATAGTAAGTTGACAGGCTAAAACACGTTATTATAACAGTCAAATCATTTGCAGCGTAGAACACGCACTTGGACTTGACTTTGTCATACGATATGTTCACATTTTGTCCGTGTTTACTCAGCATGATTCAGTGTTACTGACATGGATTTGAGGAAGCTGGGGTATGTGTGTAATACCATGCTGTGAGGCATGGATGGGTAATGGTATGCATTGTAACACTAATTCATTTTAACGAGAAATGCATTACATACAGAACACGTTCAAATGCACTAATAACATTTGCATTTGAGTCGATAAAATGTTCTCGTGGCTGTACAAATATTGTCACTCTGATTCCTGGTTATTACCATTACCGCGTATCACACATATAAATGAAATTAAAACTCTGTGATATACTACTTCAGTGCCTGTGTTTGAATAATAATAAATGCTTAGAATATTATTTTATGTATTTTATATGAAAATCTGATTACCATCTGAAGTCGACTATGCAGAAGTTAAGCCGCCTTGAATACATGGCTGCTCTAGTTATACATTTCATTATGTCTGAAAAAAGATATTACGATAACAAAAACATTCATGTCAAGAGAAAGATATTAATGTTTTGTTGGGCGTCAATGGAATTCATTTATTCATAGGTTCGTTCGATTGAATAAATTATTGCTAGAATTGCAATAAACGTTGAACGCGCATAGACATTCATAAAGAAATTTACAATATATTAATATATTTAAACTATTCTGAATATATGACTTACGGTTTAATTATTATTTTTGCACGTGATGTAATATGATGTCTCGTTCGTCGTAGTTAAAATATAATTGGTACAGCTGGCCTACGAATCTATTTTATAACACCACTGCATGGCAAGTAAATGTTTGAAACACCACGAAGTTACATTCGTTGGCTTATTCGTTTTTAAGCACGTAGACTGTAACTACGTGCGTCGTAAATCGAATTCGAACAAACCTGCAATTTAGTGACGTAATCAGATTGAATATCATGTAGAAAGTAGCAAATGATGTATTACTCGTCTATATTTGATAATGAGAGTGTGTAATGCTGCCGTCATAGCTGAGGGCAGTATCTACATTAAGGTCATGACCTACTACAACAATCATGAATTAATATAACTATGTAAGCTACCTGTGAAATATAATTGTTTTAATTTTCATAAAACGTCAACAGGTTCAACTACGACACTTATTCGTATTTTAAATATTCAACAAATAACCAACATCGATTGTGTATAAGTATATTTACAATACCGTCATGTTATTTTAGCAAATTCATTGAAACTTTGCTTTTACACTATTCAAGTTTCGATCGGACAGCAAGACTTCGATTCGTCTCTCAAAGTTTAGCGTCCGTTCACGTTCACGTGTTTCTTGAAATTCGTTAGTCAAATTTCAAGTTCGGTATTTAGCCTATTCTATTTGTTATAACTCCATAAATGGGCTGCACCGAAAATTGGCATATCGTTTCACAATATTCTCAAGACAAAAATGTGTTCAGGCATAATGTTACTATAATTATATACAGAATGCATAGTTGTAGTTTGTGGCACAACGGATTCGAACTGCGCATGTCCACTACACGGTATTTTGAGCGGGTACATTGCTAACCTGCATACTGATTGAAATCACGTAATGTTGCCCTCATAGTTGATGGCAAACCAACATACCGTTATGACCTAATTATACTGACGTAATTATGAAATAATTTCAATATTTATGAAGCACGTGGTAATATAAATCACGGTGTTTTTTTAATTCTAAATTTGTTACGGATCTTTAGACGCAAAGACTTCTGGGATAGGTTTCGTCCAATTGCACGAATGTGCACCAATCATAAACCGCTCTGCATTCACGCAAACTGTCCCACAATAAATTATATTCGTATGTAAACAGCTCTGTTGGATAACCACGGTAGCTGTTGAAAACTATTTGAGGTACAGTTGCATGCCCATAAGGGGGTATTTGTACGTGAGAAGCGAAACAACATCCGTTTTCTAGCATTGATATATTGAAAGATGAAGTATGCGGTGGATGACAAAACAGATTGAAGTTGAGAATGCTTGAGTATGACAGAACCCCACACCCTCCCCATGGCTTTCGTTACGTACGATGTGGGATTCTGTATTATTACATATGTTCCATATTTGATTATTTCATATTGAAGAAAGAACGTGAAACACACCGGGGTGGAATTTAGGTCGGGAACCCCGTTTGGGCGAAATGAGTACTGTAGTTCAAGTGACGTTAGCATATTTCTAATTTAGTTTTAACTCATATAATATTTATTCACTCACTGTTTACTATGGCCAGAACGATGAACGTGTCTTCACTTTTATGTTAGTTCTTCTGCCGATTTCCCGCAACCAACAACGTGATTTTTATTTGGGATTTTGATAAACTTAACTAGAATCGTTATGGCATTCATACACTCAACACCTCGCAATGTTTCAACTTTTATGTTGTCAGTTAACGAGGTTTTTTCATAATAGCATTTCTATGGGATTGAAGAATGAATGGGCTCAATTATCTGTGTTTACTAATGACATCATTTGACTGGCCCTCTAGAGGCGAGATGACGCCAGGCAAAGCGGACGTATTTCGTCTGCTTCACAGCCCGTTTTATACCCGATATTCAGGGCATTTCGCAGCACGTACAGGTTGTTTTTATCAACATAATTCATTCCTAGATCTCAAATTGCATGTAGAGAGTGTCAAAAAACAGACCTCTGCTCTCATTTAATATGTTTAAGATAGTGTTACGCCCTAGCAACGCGTGTCAATGTAGAACGCGTCTGTGTGGAAATAAAATAATCTGAATCACTGTCCGAATAAATAACTCGTGGACGTTTAGTTGGGGCCACGACAGAACGAGAACTTGAACTGAAAATTTTAATAATATCTCTACAGATCTGTGCATCGGCAAACATACGGTCGTCGCTGAACTGCACCCTACTACTGCGGATCTTCCGAAAGCCCTTCAGGGTTATACAACTCAGTTTCCAAGAGGTTAACAAACATTAAGTTCTCCCAATCGTAGTATTCCATGAGATGTACACCTAATATGCCAACATTTTGCTGAACGATTTGAACCGGATAAAATAGCAGACGAAAATTTGTTTGCAAAATAAAAATAGTTCGGTTGCCAACGGAATGTTCATTTACGTATCGACCGTGAAAATACCGAAAACATTATTGCATGGGTGATATGCAAATTAGTTTTAGTCAAAATAAGTGGCTGCCTAAAAGTACCATTCCTGTTGTTCAAATTTCACTTCACTCGGCAAGTATATTCACGTTCCCCAATAGATAAATATCGCACTTCTAAATATTGTTTATTTCTGCCATGTTTTGAAAAACGGTACTGATTTCAGGGACGAATCAAAATAAACCGCAGTTACGCCACAGTACTTTACTTTGCTTTGCTTTGCTTTGCTTTGCTTTGCTTTGCTTTGCTTTACTTTGCTTTGCTTTGCTTTGCTTTGCGTTGGAACATTGGCTATCTTGCATAACATAAGGGGCACTTATGAGTTTTCACAATAACATGGTGTGAATATAAATGTTTCAAATATGAGTCTACATAGACTTGACAGTTATAATAAAATATTGTATATTGGGACAAGTCAAACTCGAAGCTTCCGAAGCCAACTTAAAGCTAGCGGGAGCTGTTAACTGTAGAGTCTTGTCCGATATGATATCGTGACATTTAACAATCACAGCCTATCAGCGATGAATACAGCTACTGTTATCGGAGGGATGGGTCAGCTATCGAGGCTGACAACATCCTATGGAGTTACATATACGACAACCATTAACGTCAACTGAATACTAATAATAATGTATTGATTTACGTACTCAACTTTATCATATCCAGTAACGACATGTTATTATTTGTTTACGTGAAGTTGTTCATCTTTGCATACAGTGCGCCCAATTTCAAAATTTGACGTGAATGCGTGCTCATCCTAGGCAATATCCGACAAGTACAAGTTCACGTTAAATACAGAGGTATATATTTTATCGGTAAGACTATCAAACCAATTCACATGTACGTACATGTGAATTTAAAAAACGAGTATTCATCTCAAATAGAGGGAGTGGCATTGTCAATCTCTGTTTTTATTATCGGACGATGTGTGCATTGTATGTTGCTTTTGTTACAACTGCCCGAAGTTGGTATCGGGGTCACATGTGCTTTATGCTGCCGCGCCCTTCCATGGTGCTTTAGAGCAAAACAAAATATCGTGTGGCGACAAGTACAATAAGTCGTATTTAACTTTAGCTAAGTGTACAATTGCGTGTGGTTATTGCGTGACTTTCTCGCCACACTGTCCCGAACCAACATTAATGTTAAATGCGGGAAAGATACACACCATTGCCTATGCGTACTACCATGTTGATCCAGCATATCACATGTGCATTCGGATTTCATAGTGCGATATCGTAAATAAACAAATCCAGCCTATGATTCAATGGTAAAAACATCATATGCGCATATGCTGGTGTGTAGGAATAACTCACGTCCAATATAGTTACGTCGAATATAACAAGCGACGTGTCTCATTCACACAAACATCATAACGAACGTGTTTGATGATTGAATCAGTTTCATTGGACGCCGGTTATGAAATAAAACACTAACAACTCACCTTTTTTGTAACACGATGGTGGGTAATAACAACAAAGTCAGTAACTGCAAATATCTGAGGTGACATTGCAGTGGAAAACCATTCATGTTGATTTCAAAACATGCATACTTTGATGAACGAGTTCATATGTATTGAGTGCACACCATGTACCGGACAACAACACTGAGTCTACTTGCTAGCTTTCGTACACAATACCGTCAATTAACTGAAGGTTACAAACACACAACCCACAAAGAAACATTCATACCACCTAGCTTGACAATCATTAACACTCCAGATATTGAAAGTGCGACCTCTAGTGGCAGTTTCGTGGTTTGACAATCACAGAGAGAGACGTACGAGATCAGTAAAGGCAACCGTGTTTAACACAGCAGTCTAATATAGATGAATTGAATGTGGCATATACACATGATTTTTGGGTTGGGTTGGCAACACGTCAATTCGCACACGTTGTCACTTTTAAAATACAGAATATTGATCAAAATGTGTAAGATAAGTATAAAGTTTACATAGAAATATTGAGTCACTAGTATATCACATGTTCTGACGGGGTGGGGGAGTAAACAAAGTGATTTTAAAAATACTTGATATTAAAAATCACAAACGGGCCGTAAAGAATGTGTAAACAAATAATAACCCTTTAAAAACGTAATATCTGATCGGCCTTCATCGTGTAGAACAATTGTAGTATTTTTTTACATATGTTTGTGTTGACTAAATAAAGAAAGATTACTGCCATGAACTGAAATTTCCCTGGTTCTTTGTTTAATAATGACCCCGGATACTCCAGCTCTAGTTTTTTTATTACTCTATTAAATCAACACAGTTGTTGCACATCGCTCATTCTTAATTTCGTTTGTAGATTTGTATAAATTGCATAGAACCCTCATGTGGCGCTTTAACCCACTTTCTACTTGTGCGTTGTCTTGACCAGATAAGGGTTTAAGTTGTTGTTTTTTTTCCGTGGCGTGCTGTTAGAAGTTTAATATTACCACACTAAGATGCCTGTGATAGAACATATTAAAAATCTGTGAATTGTATTACCCACAAAATCCTAGTATGTCATAGCAATTTGGCAGTATAAGAACCTGTCCTCCAATAAGTTCATACAGAAAGGTATTATATGTAATTAGGCGATGTATGCAAAATAACATTTTCTATCATTTTCATTCTTTCCCATATATGACCTTATATGGCAGACCACGTGGCGTCTTTACACTTTATTAGTCGCATTACACATGTTGATGAAAAATTCTGGATTCTTATATGCCTGGCGTCTTCATAATTGTATTATCCTTCAAGAACTGGATTTAATATTTTTCGTTTAGGTTTCACAAAATTGTCGATATTATTCTGGACCTTACAATAAATGTAATTTGGTATGCCGATTACTGATGAAAGAAATATAATTTTCGATACAGCTAGAGATTTTGTTAATTTTAACGTACAATGAAAAAGGAAGTCGTCCCCACAAATTTAACACATTATTCAATGATTTTAGCTTTTCATCCAATCTATAAAGCGATTTCGTATTGTCTAGGCACTTTTAATAGGATTCTTTGTCCATGTTATATTCCCGACTGTATGTTAAACCACTACAGTCATGAAATGAGCCCTTTACGGAAAGTAAGTGATTGATTGACGTTTCCTCGCGAACAAAATAGCTGTGTCGTCTGCTAGCAACATAATTTTAGCTTCATGGATATTTTCATTATGATCTAGAAATTGGAAACGAATTATAGTTCTGCTGTGCCTGATTATACAAGCTAGTTTTTCAATGGAAACAAAAATATCTGTGAGTGAGACTCAAGCTATCTGTCATGTGTCGTTTAATAACGAACGTGTTGTCATCCGAGTAAATGAAGATTCCAATAAAAGACTTCACCAAGTGAGATGACGAGAATACATAACATTTCACCACCAATGTCAAAGCATTGCCACTTTAACGACTGTAAAGTTAATATACATATATATATATATATATATATAGGACACGTTCAATTATTAAATAAACTGTCTGCGTCAAATGATGGATGGCACAGACTGTTTAGTGTGTATTAACTAGCGCACTCTTCATTATACATATACTATATTATATGTGATGGAATTTGGGTTTAGTTTTCAGTTTCGGTTTATTCTGCGTTTCCATGGTATATAATGTAGATGTTGAGGTCATTTGCTGACACGTCAGTTGTTTAGGTCGTCCTCGGGTCCAACTTTAAAATAGAGGGTGAGCACGCCACTTTGTTGGCATGTCGAAAGATTTTCACTACTCCAAGCAAGATTGATAGAACCTATCACCAGATCACGAACATCATGGCAGAAGAAAAGATAAAATTTCCGCCGTTAAACCATCTGAACCCTTTTTCGGGGTCTTTACTGTTAGCGCCCTCACAACGCTCCCGCTGTGTAGTTCTGGTGCAGGAACGTCTCCTAAACAATATCTAAACTGATATTATTTTTTATTTCTTATAAACAAAATAATAGTTATCGTCATGAATGCAGTCAATTAAAGCCTGGAGTATAACATTGCCGCGCCGGTCTTTGATTATCACTGGGTTCACATGTGAGGGCTGTACATAAATAGCCGTTTTATTTATCAAAAAGCGGGACAACTTTGAGATGCCATCTGTCGCATACGACTTATTTACCACTTCCGTGTCACTGAGAATGTTCTAGAACCGTACTGTGTCTGGGTGGAATATTCTATATTTTTTAGAAAATGGTTTAATAGGTAATAGAACACTGTAGGAGGCAATAGAAGGTAATGGAACATTCTGGAAATTTGTAGTA